TAAAAACTTGTATAGTAAGGTTGCAAAGTGGAAATAGGCTGAATTTTATTATTATGAAGCGCCACAGATTAATAGTAAGTGCTGGAGGACTACACTACGCGCTAAGCAGAACAAACAAGACAAACTATACAGACGTAAAATCAGGTGAATGCATCATATAGACATGATAATTAATTAAAGCATAGTGTATGGTAAGATAAATAATGGACAAATTTGAACGTTTAGCCTCAATAGTGCTTTAATCAACTAATCTCGGACTTCAGTATATTTTATTCTTTATTAACTTTTGTAATCTTTAATATTGTTTGAATATTTATTAATCATTTACTTGATACAATTTCATATTGTAAATAATGTACTTGTCAATTTTAAAATTTTGATAAAACTATTTACTTTGCAATTTCATGTGTTCATCAATTACTTGATATAGTTACAATTTTATATTGTTAATTATTTACTTGGTAGAGTTACAATTTTAATAAAATCATTTACTTGATAGGGTTACCATTTTATGTTACTAATCATTTACCTATAAAGTTACAATTTTCCCTATTTTTTATACTGGATAATGTTTCCTGTTTGTTTTAAAACGTAGTGTATGAATAAATCTCAAAATCAGTATATCGACACTCCTGTGTTATTCATGTATTTCTAACATTATATATACACCTAATGTCCAATTGGCTTGTCAACACGATAAGGGCTATTGATCCTTGTTTGTGATCGTATTATGCTTATTAGTAAAATGGGGTGGTTTGTTGAGATATGCATTGGACTTTTATGTCATTGTAATTCTTCCGTTTTACTATCACGCCGCTTTGCCAATATTTGAATTATCACTACAAATAAGAAATAATATAAGAAACGAAAGACAGTCGTGCGAAACCAACTGATATAAAATGAAATGAAATGAGTTTTAACCTTCTGCTTTTCTGCACCGACTAGGCTAAACGGACAGGGCGGAACGAACTAGAAAATACATTTATATTAGCTCACTGAAACTTGGTAACTGCAGAAATAGGACTACTTTTCACGTTTTATAAATAAAGGGTGTTACGACTCAGTCGTAAAAAATCACATTCACATTGTGTTGCAACAAGTTAGTGCAAAGATAATACATAGAAGGAAATTTATAAATAATACGGATACCTTTTATGTTTATATTTATAAATGATCAGTTGATCGACGTGATCTGTAAAAAAAATATTAATTACATTTTAGTCTTCAAAGCAGTGCCGGATTTACCTATAGTCCTGACAAACTGAAACCGCCTAGGTGATTTACCTATAGGCCTGACGAATTAAAACCGCCTCAAGATTGAGGAGGGGGGGGGGGGCTCTGACCTAGGTATTTAATATTTGTCACACTGTCATAAGCTTTTCTTACACTCAAATAGTCTTGAACATCCGTCAACGCTTTCATTTTTCTCTAGTTGTGAGGGTGGAGGTTATTTCGAATGTTAATCCGAAAGTACGTTCTTGTTGAGAATGTCAAATGAAATGGGGTTTAACGTCCTACTGTTCTGCTCCTAACCTGGGCTAATGAAGATGGCAACTTAGTCGATTACTAACCTCTAACTAGCTAGTTACCAAGTAAACCTAGTCACGGATTATTTCAGACACTGTTTGAAAATACGGGCCTAAGAGTTTATAGTGAGAAATAAAAGCCAAATTAAAAAGAGTCGCATAAAACACAAATCCGTATATAATAGAAGATTTGTGTTATTTTGTGTCATTAAATATTTTAATCAAAAATATATAAACGTTATATAGTATAATCTGTCGTGTGTATTCTTTCACGCTCTATTAAATCTATATTATGTCACGCTGTTCTCTAAATGTCTTTTTATTGAAAACAAAATATTTTCTAATCGTCATTTGACCTTTGTACAAGCCACGTGGTGATATGCAGTTTCTTAATTATATGGGTAGTTTGTGCAAGTCACGTGGTGATATGCAGTTTCTTAATTATATGAGTAGTTGATAGAAATAACTGTATGAGTTAAGATAGAATTATAATTGTGCACTGATATTGTTATAAGTGAGGGTGACCGCTTGTTTATATATTCAGTTGAAATATATAATTGAGTATCGGCATACAAATGAAAGCGGAGTCCATAATTTCTGACAATATCACCTAATGGTGACGTATAAAAGGTAAATAAAATCGGACCAAGAACAAAACCCTGAGGAAGCGCAGATGACAAAACAGATTCAGACGACGATTTACAATTAACCAAAATACACTGTTTTACCTACAAGTTTTCTAAAAGATTTAATGCAGAGCCACAAATACCGAATTGAAAATAAGTCTACGTAAAAGAATATAAGGATTAACCGTGTCGAAAGAAGCAGATAAATCTAATAAAAATAAAAAAAAATATAGTTTTGAATTAAGAATAATTAATTCTTGGTCTGATGGCTTTGATTTGACGGATACAATGTACTTTGTCCCAACCAATCATCAAGGAAACGGATCATTGTCGAAATTTGACAATAAAAGCTGAAATCAGACCAAGACGAGAAAATAATTTACCACTTAACCAAATTGGGGATTCCTGAGATAGAATTTAAAGTTAAAACTGAACGTTATGATTAAAAAGTGCGGTGCTACAGCGTTTTGAAATTAACACATATTTACATTTCTGTGTTCAGTTAAAGATAATTATTATAGGACGATAGAAGTACAGTGGTGAACGTTTAGAGAGACATTGCAGTTAATTTTTTATTTTTGTTGTGTTGTGTTATGGTTAATTGCATGAATAATTATGAGCTCTATTACTTCCCATAGTATCTATAATTTTATCAATTTCTCTACGGAAATGCCTTTACGGTGGACGGCATGTAATAGTATTGTGACATTTACAGATTTGTTAAATTCTTAATTCAAAGTCAAGAAATATAACAAGAAATACGGATTAATAATCATGTTGGTCATTTAAATTTTTCACGGTCGTAATATTAGGTAATAATCCTTGATGATATGCACGGTATAGTGCATGTACATCCCATATTTGGAATTTAGTTTTGTTATTAGTCTATGACGTAAGCAATTGGGGAGTTTGGCACCTATAAAAGAGCAAAAGCAAGGTTCGAATAATCCGACACCGCTTGTTTTTTTTTTTTAGAAAACCATTTGATTCCGAGAGAGCCAGGATGTAGAGGTTTACATCAGGTAACTCGCTCTGCTAGTGGAGTTGGTTTGAGGGAAAGACATTTTACTTTTAGATATTGTAATGTAGACTATTGGTTACTGTTACATATTGATATTATGAGAAGACACAACGTTGAAGTCCACGCGATGTTCAAAATACGTTAAAATAATAACCATCAGGCCAAAAGAAAGATATGTAGCTAAGGGTAGTACTACACTATGCCATGTACAAAGGTATCGTGTGACCACATCATCAAATATTCTCCGATGAAAGTTAATGTCCTCCCCAATCCCAAAGGTACTACCTGACTGTGCACGTTTGGTTCCTTTCTGTGCTATAATCAAATCGCCCCCCCCCCCCATTCACCTTCTATTTTTTTACGTTCAAGTGAATATGAACATTGCATATGTCCCTAGTAAAACCAAGTTAAGCATACATATAGTTTATAAATTATCTAGGGTGGTGAAATATGTAATAACTGTGTGCATGCGGTTTTATTATTAGGTATAGAATTTCTTTAAAATGTTTAGAGGTTTTATTATTTACGGCGGTGTAGAATTTATTTATAGGGACGTTGACTACAGATAGATTACATTAACTTGGTATACAGAAGATGATATCGTAACATGAATGGATGACGTCACTGATCATATTAAATGTCATCTTGAATATATTAATAGGCAATTGACATGCATATACATGTACTTGCATTATAAACATATACGCATATCGCTTTCGGATCTTGCACGCGTAGCCTACACATTGGTAAGACATCTTTCTTTCTTTCTACTAGGCTCGTATTTTCTAATATTACTACTAATAATCGTCCTTTGATCGTACCTATTCATGGCGAAACTATACAACCACAAGAAATTGATTGATATATTAGCACACAAATTATATACCACCTGCAAACATTTACTTTTGTTACCTGGTGGGTTTTGCAGCGATGAAAAAGCTGCGGTAAGTTTAAATGGCGTATGGCTTAACTCATATTTTCATTTTAAGGCGAGAGCCTCAACCAGAATGTGAACACTGTCATGTTCCTTTGACAGTTAAGCACGTTTTGATTGAGTGCAAGCATTTCAAGGATGTTAGATCGAATTTTTTACCGTTGTCAGTCGTTACATCACACGTTTGCCCAACCGGGTTTTTATATATATATATATATATATATAATTTCATTTTTGTATTTAATATTTATATGCATAAAAGTTGTGTTTGGAACCTTAACGTAGACGAAATGGGCATAGGAGCACATATTAATGTAATACGAATGCATATAAGGTGATTTATTTTACATTTGTAAACAATTATTCTAATTTCGAATCAATTGTGTTCTTTGAAATATGCAAACTGGACGGAAATCGTAAAAATTCTACAAGATATTTTATCGTTTGTGAATCAGCCATTACTAATTACTTCCGCATTGTCCTGTAGGGTATATTATTCTTTGTTCAGTACAAATGGCACTGGAAATCGTAGAATTCACGACTGATGTGAAAATATTCAGTGTCCTAGATATTGGATATAACAGTCCTATAATCTCACAAGATAACACCAATATTGATTGAAATGGGCCATTGAATTCTAATTTATTTTTTAATTGCCTATATTATGAAAAATATTGAATTTTATATCCTTTAAAATGCACCCCATAAATGGCTCTGTTACTTATAGTGGTCATGGTCTGTAGACGCGGCTTATCGTGTAACGTGACCAATCCAGCAAACAAAAAGGTACTTCGTGTAGACTAAGAGTTCTTGGCCCTAGTCATAATATTGTATTCCACATAATATATATTATATAACATATATTCAGTTATGCTTTCTATATCTATTTTCAGTGTACTGGTGTGTGTGATACAAATAACCGGTAAAATATGTATTATTATTATTGGATACCCATATATGGACTTTTTCATGTGCTGCTTTTCTTTTATAACTTAATACGCGGTACTTTCAGTCACGCGACATTCTTCTTTGCTTACCTGTTTGTTGCTTGCGGCATAATTTTTACAATAACATCAAGAATAATACCAATTGTGGTAGAGTCTGTTGCTATTTTATACTGGTTTCGATTAGTCTACGTTATATGCAACTCAAAGTTATGTACAAGATGGCCAACTTTTATGAGTGTGATATTGATTTATTTTATCTTCTTGGTCATTCCATCTGGTTTTCAACTAAGCATAGCGATTTTTCCAAATATTGACAGTGGCTTTGAGAAGAGTATTCTATTTTACAAGGGACAAAGGGATATAGGCAACAATTTTCAAATGCAAAAGATGAAAGACCCGTTGCTTTTACCGAAAGAACTGTTTCATGGCAATCAGACCCAGTTTTCCTATATTGGCCACGATGTTGTATTTAAATGTGCAGTGTTGCCGCTTAATAGTCAAGACCCCGTTTGGGTCAACACAGAAGGAAATAGAACTTTAGTAACCTACAGCGAACTGAAAACATTCAATATTACCAGTGAGTTACTGAAACGCTACGCTATTGAAAGAGAGTTACTGAATTCTAATATTATAAGTGACTTACTGAAATACAATGACAGAAGTGAATTACTGAAACACTACTATAACACAGGACAGTTTCTAATGTTCAATATCATAAGTGACTTACTGAAAAACAATAATGATACAACTGAGTTATTGAATGAAATACTGGAGTTGCGGACATACACTGATTTAGATGAGTCACTGAATGATACAATTGATTCACTGAAATTGGAATACAATTTAACTAGTGAGTTAGTAATATATAACAGTTCAAGTTCGTTAGAAATTCGTGATATCGAGGAAAGAGATTTCAAAGTTTACCACTGCCTCAATAATCTTTCAAATACATTAACGTGGCAGGACTTTCATCTCAAGAAACTGGAATTTGAAACGGTTGATGTATACGCCACACCGGGAACATTAATATTTATGGAATCTTACTACCGACATTTAGACAACAATGAAGATATCACTATATATCATACATTAAATGGTAAAATAATAACTTTCGACGATTATAAATGTCCGTATCTTCTTTTATATTATCATTACTCAACTAGAAGTATATATGGTTCATGGTTGCTTTTTAAATCATTATATCATGTTGATCAATATCAATATCCTGGTTATAATCCTAATAATTTAGGCAAATATCTGGCGTCATTTTCCTCTTGGTGTATGACACCTGAATTATACGGATTACATAGTACAGTTGTCGTGCGGCGGTTCCAAAATACATCAGGTTCTTTATGTTCAGTTAAACATATCAATCAACCCCTGTCACTGAACATAAAATACACAGAATCGAATTTGTTTGAAAGTGCTGGAAGAAATTCCGAGTCTGATTGCTGGGGATTAGAAGGAGAACCAGATTCTGAACTATGCGCCGTTACTAAACGTTTGTTGTACAAAGATGCTAACCTTATGTATAAAACAGACAGGGATTACATTTTGGGTATGCTTGTTTTAGTTATTCTATTCCTTATATTCCTATGGTATGTCTATAACATATGTACGGGTGAAATAGACATGGAAACTCTAGCTGGTATATCAGACAGGAGGAATGCTGAAGAAAAATGTTACGTATTTATTTCATGTGTTCAACAGGATTACCAATTTGTGCGAAAGAATATATTACCACTTTTAGAAAATGAGCTTCGTCGCAAGGTTTTCCTTCCTATACGTGATGTACAACCAGGTCGACGGATACTGACCGATACTGATGAGGCAATAAGAGAAAGCACGTCGTTTCTTGTGGTGGCCAGTCGGAGGTATATTAGAGACTGGAAATTGAATGAACTTGAAATTCACATGATTTTACAAAATGCTAATTCACGTAATCTGATAATAGTAAGACTGGATGATTGTTATATTGCTGATATCTTTAATAAGAAATACCAAGTTATAGATTTTAGAAACCAACACAACCGTTTTCAATTACATAAGATACTAAAGAAATTACCGTTATACAGATCTCCATTGATGAAACGAGTAAAAATGGCACTTCGCATCCTCAATCTGTGTGGAGGAGTGTTCACAATTTTTCTGCTATTTAATGACACATACTATATAGTTTTTAGATCCCTAGTTTCAATTATCATTACAGGCCCAAATGGATCAATAAGGTAAACTACAGATCATGTGTGCTGGACTATGTACAATCATGTCCTTTTTACACGTCCATATTGTCATCCGTCCGTTCAAATTTTATTTGCGGACACTCTACAAGTCACAGTTTTAATCCGATTTTGATGACACTAGAAAAAATGGGTTTATTTCCCAAAGATCTCAGTTCATGTCGATATTAGCGCAAATTGGACTATATCTTCATGGATTATTTATGACCCAGATCGCGGATTTTAGGTTGTGGACCTTCCAGAGCTCACAATTTTTATCCGATTTTAAAATCGTTCCAATATATTGTGCGACAAAATGACCGCTCCTTGTACGCAAATATTGTAAAAGTATGTAATACCAAGTGACCCTGAAAGGATGCGTCTTTCTGTTTCGCTTGAACATGAATATTCGTAAATATTGAATTTAGCAGTGTAAACAAACTAACTGGGTTTTTAAGGTTAACATTAAGGTTAAATCATTTCGACACTAACGGGTTTACACAGGCGACCCTACAGTCAATATAGTTTTGCCGTCCATACACGTAAAAAGTAATCGTTTCAAAACGTTTCCATGCCTTACTTTAGTTAAATCGAGTGATCTGGCGTTTTTGAATAAGAAATCCCAAACGCATGTTAAATTTGCCAATCTGGTATAATAGCAATAAATGGATGTACGGATAATGCGTCAACTTTTCAGTTTTCAAAACCAAGTTGGTGCATTAACCGTTGTGACAAGAAAATACAACTGATGATAACAATAACACGTCGTTATAGAAACACTATCAGACGGAAGTAGAGCATACAATTACCTTGTGGTCAATTATTAATTATATTACATTTATTTAATATCAGAAATGAAACCATGTTGTATTATTACGCCGTAATAATGGTTTTTTGGGGTTTATTACTTGTTGTGCAAGATACGAATTGCCAGAGAGCAATGTTGTGACCATAAAACTGTACGGCGTAGTTAAAACGTTACTAGGTGCATAATTAATAGGTTGCTGATGGAATTGTTTCATTTACCCCCGAACGAAACTCTAACTAATCTACAGCCTATTGGCTACTTTGTGTGTTTGTCAGGTAAAAACTTGTATAGTAAGGTTGCAAAGTGGAAATAGGCTGAATTTTATTATTATGAAGCGCCACAGATTAATAGTAAGTGCTGGAGGACTACACTACGCGCTAAGCAGAACAAACGAGACAAACTATACAGACGTAAAATCAGGTGAATGCATCATATAGACATGATAATTAATCAACGCATAGTGTATAGTAAGATAAATAATGGAAAAATTTGAACGTTTAGCCTTAATAGTGCTTCAATCAACTAATCTCGGACTTCAGTATATTTTATTCTTTATTAAGTTTTGTAATCTTTAATATTGTTTGAATATTTATTAATCATTTACTTGATACAATTTCATATTGTAAATAATGTACTTGTCAATTTTAAAATTGTATTAAAACTATTTACTTTGAAATTTGATATGCTAATCAGTTACAGGGTGGCTAGGTGGTTAAGACGCTGGCTCGCTAGCCTGGAGGGCACGTGTTCGATCCCTGCAGTGGCAGAGAAAGTTCATCAGGATTTTCCGACGTGGTTTCCCCTTATCAGTGGTACAGGACGAAGGGCCTGACAAGGTCAGATGTCTAGTTGTTCCGATGGTACAAAAAACCGAGGTCCTGTTTATACTTCGGCGTGCACGTAAAATATCCTTTGGCAATTGGAATCCGATATAAGAGTAGGCCAGTGTGGCGCCGCCCCAGAAAAATTTCCCACTGTATGGACATGCCCGCAACGCCGGATTAACCATGGTGGGGGGCCCCTGATCAACGACCGCGGAGCTGTGGCAGGCGAAACCTGCCACCGCGAGCGCCGAAGATGCGAAGCCCCGTAAGCGGGGTCTCGGGGGGGGGGGGGTCTCCCCCCTTTGACATTTTCTGAAATTGGAGGCCGGAAACGTGATTTCCTGAGGAATTCCAGCCCGACCGCATCTCGGCAGCATCTCTCTCAAATTTCGAGACGTGGCACTCTTGGCCGTCTCTTTTCCCCCCGGTCCGTCATTTCGTTCGCACAAGTCCCACACCGATTGCGTGTAGACACGGGCCGTCAGGCAAACGGGTAAAAATTCGCCCGTTTTCTTCTCTTTCTTCTTCTTCTCCTCTCTTGGCCAGGAGACCCTCGGCCGGGGCGCGCGAAGTGGAAGTGAAGAAGTAGATGAGAAAAACAAATATACAGAGAGAGAGAGAGCTCTGTCCGTCTGAAGCGGACAAATCTCCTAGTCTAGGGAGCCACAACAGGCCGATCTACCAAGTACGACACAAACACTAGTCGTCTGCAAGCAGATTTACCTGCTTTCGAAAGACACCTGCCGAAATACACAGGTCGGACACACACCACGCCGTTCGCCCGCGAGGGCGAAGTAGGGCCTAATCGTTCTTTCGCCGGTCTCAGAGAGGCAGACGCGCACGTCGTGGGACGGGATTCCGCAAAATTCTGCCACAAAATTAGCGCATTCTGGCGTTATTTCAGTGGACCAATCCATGCGAGTGCTATGAAATGATGGCATTTCTAGAGGAGGGGGCTGGAGCCCATTGAGCCCGTTAAATCCGCCACTGTAAGTGAGCAGAGCTACATCAAACCTAATTGTGAAGTCGCTCAGTGATAAATAACGAGGTCACTTGATTTGGAATCGTATTATATCCCCCACGATGATTTGATGAATGGAGGCCGTAACTTTACGACCAAGCCGGACTCGATTTTTGACGAACGTCTAACACAGTAAGTACCAAATGGTAATACGAGATTTAATCAAGAAATCTGAATATTTCGTGTGATCATGATGTGCATCTCATCAAATTCAGCTTATACCCACAACAAATATCAACAACAACAACAGATTATATACAATCGTACGTCAATCTGAGGCAAAATTCGCGCTACTCGAAATGATGGGGACGGGTAATTTGTTCGAGTTATACGATAATTCGAGTTAGACGATGTTCGGTCCGATAGAAGATCTCACGACAATAAAAGACCATGTGTTACACCCTTAGATAAAGCCACAAAAAGTGTTTATTTTTCAAATCTTCAAGTTTCCATTATTTACAGTTCGAGTTAGGCGATGTAAATATAAGATTTCGATAAGGATTGTACCGGAAATTTGGTTCGAGCTATGCGATAATTCGAGTTACAGTTTCCGAGTTATTCGATGTTTTATTAAAGGAAAACGAAAGAAAATATTCGTTCAACGAATTTTGTTCGAGTTAGCGATAATTCGCGTTATACGGGGTCAAGTTATGCGGAGTTAGAGCTGAATGATAATGATCAATGGATGAATGCCCTGGCGAATTTTGCAATGGTTTCTTCGGCATCGATGGTGCGCAGGATATTGCTTTCAGAGGCCAGCCGAAGCAAATACACTAGCCTATCCTGACCCATCGTAGACCGGAGATAATATTGAATTTGGAGAAAGATCTCTCCCCAGAACAATTAGATATCATCATACACAAATATATTCTCAATATTGCTTCAACGTTGGGGAATGTGGCCCCAGGGACTTCCGATGGAGGGCCCTCGGAGCATCGGAGGGGCCCCGTCACTAGGTCACCGGCCGTTGGAGTCCTCGGTCCGACCATGCTCGAGTCGCGCAACTGTGATTTTTGTGGGGGGCCTTCTAATGTGGGGGGACCTAGGCCCCATGGTGCCCAGTGGTTAATCCGGCGTTGCATGCCCGTCTTCATGAGCTCAGCAGGAGCAGAACAGTAGGAAGTTAAACCCCATTTCATTTACATTTTATTAACTGCTATCTTCTGCCAGGTTTGTAATAACTAAAATATATGTTTTGGAGGCAGCTGATCTCATTTTCGACACATTTTTTCATCTTGGTAATTAACTGGTTCCCCTGGGTCAAAATACGTGGAAATCCCATTGGAGATTTGTGGGTTACGAGTGGTCGAGTCCGCCTCAGATGGCATTCATCAAGCATCAACTAAATTTCATTTAGACGCTCTGATCGACCACTGCTCACTACGGAAGCAGTGTAGCAGGCATGACTAAAGGGGTCACTCTTAGCCCACTGTGGACGCAGTGTCGTGGGCGTGTTTGGTTTCGATCACCAACCTCGAAAATTGAGCCAATATGATGGCCTAACCTATTGAAGCACTTGGCGAATTTATTTCACAAAATGATTCAAATGTTGAGACACAGATGGATACAGTATCGCCTGTTTGTCATATAGATATGCAGTGAACTGCCTATCGTCATTCCAAAAATGACGGAAAGATAACGGGTATTGGAGGCCGACAATAATGAGCCGATTAAGACCCCTGGCTTACGTTCAATAATGAGCTGAGATATCAATTTCAATGGCAGAGAATTTAGGACAGAATAAAACTTGGTGTAAAGTCATGACTAAGTTCAACAATGAGCCAGGGGCGTGCTAGGGCCTCCGAGGGTAGGCAGACCAAAGTTTAGGAGGGGGGCTAGGAAAATTTGAGTTCTGTGGCACACGGTAGAACCGATTTGACGTATATGTGAGCCATGAAATACTATACATTGACACTTGGTGAAGGGATTATGATTAAGTCACAAAGATCCGAACATGAACAAAGTTAGCTGCAGTCAAGAACTAAACGACCTGTGAGTAAAGAAAAACAAGCATCGAAAGGGACTGGTATTCCTTACAAAGGAACCCCAAGACTGACAACCCCAAGAACGAGAAGACGGTCAAAATACACTTTAAGCCAGCCAAGGAAGTTACTGGTGACAGATTAAATGTCATTAGAGTTCGTTGCGACGGTTAGCGTATTGACCCTGAGTATGCTAACGGGCAAAAACGTTCCCGTCGCCCGTGTTGGAATTTTCCTAAATTCATTTAGATTCATTTAGATAAATAAATAAAACTAAGACAAATTAGTTGATTCTGAATATTATGGAAATATTAATCCGTCTGTGAAATCTATTCTGGAAGTCATGCGTGGAAATCATGTTCTGATTGAGCTTGTATGGGGCCCTTACATCAATGAAAAACGGACATTGAGTGCGATTGGTTTGTAGTATCTCTGGAGTTGGTTGGAGCAAGGGAAGGGCAGTGGAAAAAGGGAGCGCAATATTCGATGGCACATTTTCGGAAGCGAAGGCACATAGCCACCCCCGCTCCATCCCCTTAACCTTGTTAGGAAATCTCATCGGATTCGAGCGTTATCAATTATTTCCAGTTTCTTTTGTTTTGGCATTTATTAGGGCAGGGTAGGCAGTTGACTACCTCGCCAGCATGCCTCTGCAATTAGATGTTTTGCTTAGATTGCACAGAGTGAAGAACAATTTCAGTGCTAGATGTTTTATAAATAAGTTAGATGTGCAAGTAATTAATGAGTGTTATCTATTTAGGAACACCAGCCTCAATGTTGATTTACTAAATAAAATTAGAATAATGTCCAGTCGTCATTTGTCCTGTCTTGGCTTGTCCAAAAAATAGGCATTGCGAGTTCTACTCTTTACTGTTGTAACAGCGGTCACCGATTATATTTGTTGTAATGGACCGTCTTCTAGTCTTTCCTACAGACCATGTAAAAGATAACGGTCCGCAAAAATGAATTTTGACACCTCTTCATTAACCCTAAAACATTGACCAATAACTGTGGGTTGTTCATTATTAAATGGTTCACTGCATATCTGACAAACGGACGATACTGTATCCATGTGTATCTCAACATCTGAATCATTTTGTGCCACGTGTTTCAAAAGGCACGACCAACTTCCGCAGTGACCTGACAGTGGCCCTAGTCGACATACCCCTATGCCGCTACCGCAGTGAACTGGGAGACACTCCAAATGAAATTTAGTTGATACTGGATGAAAGTCATTGTATTAGGTCTAAGGTAGGAGTATCATTAATCTCCAATCCCTAATCGGAAATCTAAATCCCAAATTGGAATTTCTCCTATATTGACACAGGGAATCACTTAATCACTAAACTATGTACAAAAATAGATTCAGCTACCTCAAAAACATATTTTGACACCAAACTTGATCCTTTTGTAAAATTCGAATTTTCCCGCCAAACTTGACCACCATCTTGAATAACCCCTAATATTGACTCAGCGGTAACACTTATCACAAAAATGTGTATGGAAATGGATTCAGTTACCCCGAAAACGTATATTTTGATACCAAACTCGATCATATTGTGATAATTGGGTGGAAATTGGAATTTACAAGCCAAAACCGGTGGCCATTTTGGATTTTGGCCAATTTGACCCATTTGGGCACGGATTTCGGACTGGGACTTTTTTTTGGTGATAATATACGTCTAAACCGACCATAAACCGTTGTTGGCATTTCTATTGCAGCAACTGTCCGCACTTTTGCTATCTTGCCTGGACTATTTGGCCGAAGAACCCCTAGGTAAAAGAAATCTGTCCTGATTTGTAGTCGA